GTTGTTTAACCATTTTCTATATGATCCTTGGTTTAACGTATATAACATATCTTCACGTTTATCTTCCTTTTATTGTTTCGCCTTTTGATCGTGACTAAAGCATACATATTGGACTGTAGTCGATTCCTCGTTAGTTTTTCCAGTAATTACTATCACAAACCTAATGAGAATCCAGCCAATAGCTCAAACTCTTAACTACTTTTCGAGTAATTGGAAATTTAAATTACACCGGAGTGACCTGACAGAGTATACAGATACCGTGCGGGATGAATGACATGGGAAAATCAAGTTGATCCTGTCTTTGTTCTTGTGTTAGATGTATTTCATCATTGACATTAAGTTCACTTATTTGGAAAAGAAAAAAGACAAAGATCGAACTGACTGTAACAAATTGAAACTACGATTTCGTTGAAGGAGTTGCGCTTTCATCGATAGTTTGTTAAAATGAACATCTCGTACTCCCATTGATACTGCGATTTGAAGAATTGTAATGCACTCTCATTGATTGCCCTTCTTTGACATTTTAATTTTTGAATGTTGGCTATTTTATCTCCTCTTGTTAATTATAAAGTTTTCTAAGCCACTCATTGCATCTGTTAGGTCCGTGAACTGTTTTAAATGAAAACCTTCACAAAACCGATATTATTTCTAGCAGTAAACGTTGACGATTTGGACACATCTGACTTTTGAGAATGAAGAGAAGATGTAAACTGCCTTGAAGTTTATCCCATGGTGTATCAGAGGCATTTGGGATCCTGTATTATTTGGAGGACTGTAAAATTTGTATCGACTGCAAATGTTACTTCTGCTCAGTAAATGTTATTTTTGCCCGAGAATGCCCTTTCTTGCTCGAATAATCGTATCTTTAGACATATTGGTGTAATAGAATGGGTCTTTTGTTGTTATGTTTTTTAGGGTGTGCGGGGCTGCATGTTCCCCACAATCCACCGAATACGGCTAGGAGATGTATGGTTGAAAAGAATAATTATGTTTTTTATATTAAGTTGGAGTGTCACTTTATTTCATGGCGATCAAAGTTCGGTCAGATGTGAGCTTTTGAGGGTGTATGAGTTTGTATGTAAATGTAGCCACAGTGCAGCCACTATGCAGTACTGCTAGATCGCAAATATTGGGTTTAATTAACGATTAGAGACCATTATTCCAGAAACCGAATTTAACAGTTATCTACTTTCCCAGGAGTTCTATGTCTAATAAAATGAGCTATACATTAGGTTTAATGTTTAATCGTTGGTTTATTGTCTACATGGTGTATACCTAAATAGTTCAACTATATAGATAATAACAGTAAATTGATAGATTAGGCCAGCAAAGAGAAATTATTTGTCATTTTTATTATTTGCATCATTAATAACTTCTCCTATATAATGTTGGTCTATAGTACATATTATTTTATTTATGTAATAATGGTTAATGGCATTTGCTATGCTGGCGTCTAAAAATTGTATTAACTTACCAATGTCACATCGTAAATTGGGCATTAAATGGCGACGTAACGATGGTATTCACATTACGTAACTTAATTGGCGATGGCCAAGGGACACATTGTAAATTGTGTTCATTGAAGTGACAATTTCTCTCCATAATATAAAACCAAATATTCGCCACAGCGCTGTACTGAGCTCTCCAACTTCGACTCTTTTGGTTCTTCAAGTAATTTAATAAAGTTTCTGTGATAAACAATTGAAACTCGCAAACCTTAACTTGCTAAAATATGAAACTGAAACTTTCTGCGATAAATAAATTTAACTCTCACACTAGAATTTGCTAAAATGGGTAAATGAAACTTGTGGCTGTTGGGATCAACAACGTCATCAATTCAGTCTCAGCTCCCAAAAATATATACTTAGAGCTCAGGATATCGTATAAGATCGTTCAGTTCCATTAATTAGATCTAATTGCCCAGAGTTATGCATGTACATGCAGTTGCGTGGGGTATTACTGTTTTAATAATAATTTAACTAATAAATCCTCGCGAATTTGTAATTAACAACACCGTTGCTTTAATCTGGAATAATGTCGCGGTGTAAATGCAGATGTTCTGTAATTGAAATAATGGTCGTACATTCTGACTATTTGTTCTGATAAAACGTTTGATAAATTACAATTATTCCCTAATTATCAACAATATTCAAAGTTGAAAGAGGGGGTGACCAACGGGTCTTTCATCTAGGTTATCTATAATGGACAATCAATGAGTGGTCAAGTAGGCCTAAGCCGGACATTTGACCATAAACTACATGATTAGTGTGAATATATCGACATGGTTATCTCTTCATCAATAATTCTATTGACTGATGTTCGGCTTAGACGTATCATAATTTGTACAGCTTAGACCTTATAAAGAAGGTATATTACAATAATACCATTTTGTCTGACATGATGGCCAACTATTATCTGAACTTACAGCTCGAAAAATTGTATAAATATAAAAAGTATATTTTCTGGAAGTTGAAAAAAAACCGGTTCTGTCTGTCAAAACAATCATCAAGAAAACAAGACAGCGAGAAAAATTTTCTGCTTTAAAGGTATATTACCGCTAGTTTTCAGCATGCCACCAATATAAATTTGATATTTTAACCTACCTGGTAATTTATTAATTTATTTATTTAATTGTATGCTCCATTTCGATTTGGTATACAAAATGCCACTCCACACATGCCATTATCACCGAATTGGAGCATCTTCGCGAGTGCGGATAGTATCTCGAATTTCAGTATCTTAAAGCGCTCTTCTTTTGTTTCTGTTTTTACATTAATAGTTTGTTTTGTGGAAGATGATATAATTATGGGAATGTATTTAAAGATGTCTGAAATATCTGTTGTTTCGTGTGGTAAATATTTACGATGCCAACGATGTCTGTTCTGCCTTCTAGAGCTGTTAACACCTTACTCGTTACACCGTTAAAAGACGTTAGTCCTGCACTACAGATACTAATCACGTGTTAATTGTTGCAATTATATATATACTTGTATATCAAACGGTCCATCAATGAATTTTCCGCATGGCTTTTATAACTAGTTTTATCGTTAAATATTTCCGAGGGCATTAAATTTTATCTTTCGAATCAAAACAAAATATTTGGTTAATTTTCAAATTATCTGCAATACGATGAGTCGACTGTAATAAATAAGTAACTTGTTTTTATATTCACTGATATCTCAGTTGAAGGGACATAGCAGAATTTGGTGACCTAGAGATATATTTTTATATTGATTTTAATAATAACAAAAATGTGGCTTCAGAATATTTCCTCTTTCGAAAGTTATCGGCTCAAAAGTTTAATTAATTGGTATAAACTTAATAATGACGGCTACCGCGTTTGAGAATAAATTGTGTCTGTATCCTTCTTCGATTAATGGGCCTCGATCTGATGAAAAACCTAGAAAAAGTTTGGGGAATTGACAGAAAAACAACTTTTATCTCCAATATAAATGGCATCATTAAACACCTCTGTAATATCTGGCACTGTCCCTTTAAATAAAACTTATAGATTCGGTAATATACCCTGTGCACTTTTCGTGATTACCCAAGCACACACAAGTGCAGTATTAATTTCGGTATCTTTAGTAGAAAATGACAAAGTAGTCCCAGATAAAACTCTCTATGAATCTAATTAAGCACCAAACTATCTCTAATAGATACTTATAGTTACATTTCGTGATGTTGCATGATTCCCATTTGAATTCATTTGGTCTTAGCAATGGCGTTTTCTTCATGGCGCATTCTGTAAGTTAGGGATTACTGCCTTGTCTGGTATCTTGTCTCCTATATGAACCCATAGCCACTACTATTCATTCGAGATGAAGTCGGACTAGATGATCGAGTCATACTTTTACTGGGCAGTGACAATGGTTATAATGGCTATATATTTTCAAACTGAACGTAAAATTTAGATTTCTTCATAAATCATAAACAGCTTAGTTTTAAATTCTGGTACTATTAAAACAAATATCCATATTAACAATACTCAACTTCTCAACTTCTCGCAGACGTGCGGGGTTGATTATATAGAGAGGGCGTCAAAAGCAACTTCACAAACATGCTGAAGATTGATATTATTATGATGTTATAACTATGCATCTGTTGATCATCTTAATCACCAGGTTTATATTCTTGTCTAAATTATAGTCGTCGACTCGTCGCGATTATCAAGTTACTCTTACATCTGAATCCCAAAATATTTGTATTTGAAATTCTCGGTCAATGTTAGTAGGCTATTATTTTTTTCATATTTGGCCTTTGATTTGTATAGTTAAACCAACTTTTTATTTTAGGTTTCCTGAGAAATCTGGCACCCTCCCTTGAAATAAAGAGTAGAGACAATGTCCTGCAACTTATTCATGGCAGTTTTAAATCGAATCTATCAAGAAAAACCATTTGTTATGATATATTGTTTCTCCTATTAAACCATTACAACTGGATCTGGACTCTCATTCGTCTTATTTGACAATATGACAAATTATAATCAGCTACAATCTGTATTCTCTCTGGAATGAACTATATTTGAGTGGGTGTTACACTTGTGGAACTGGTTTTAAATATACCCAGGGGAAACAAATAATTTCAAACAATTTTCATTATACTTCATATTATGTTAAACCCTTAATGAAATAAGAAATGTAATGAACGAATGGGTGCTGTTCCTTGCCAGGCCATTCATCCTGTACTATTATTTTACGATGTATTGTTCTATTTGAGACAATATCACTAGGGGTCGATATTTCAACCTTTTCACTAAGGTCTCCAAAATAATTACTTCACTACGGGTTGATATATTTGGAACTCCATGATGAAAGAATCATATCAATGGTGGTGGGGTCGAGCGATTAAAATTGTATAAGCATTAAAGTTCTTACCAAAATTAGACTAAAATATTTGTAAAAGCACGTTTTGTTTTGTTCTTGGACTCGACAAATACTAGACTGGAATTTTCGTTGATTTATTACTTTTTAAGTTTATGTATATGTTTATTTTTTCAGGTTTCAGAAGAATTTATATTTATCTAGAGAACTATTTTGATATATCCATCAAATCGGTAAGTTTAAAAGTTAATTGTTAAAACATTTCATATTACATCATAAAGCAATCGATACAGATGATGTTGAATGTGTGATACTCGATTGGTTGTTTCGGGATTCTCTCAATCTCAAGAATAGATCAAACAATCGAGTCGAACGGATAATTTCAGACTACAATGAGAACAGCTCAAACATTGCGCCACAAGTCATCCCGCATCACGTCGGCACTGACCTGACAGAACTGTGACCGGACAAAAAAGGTGTGATCTAATATATTTCCTAGAGAGATGAACTAGACACAGACTTCTGGTCTACCTATTATTAGGTATGATACACATTTTAAGTCTATATATAGGCCTAAAGTCATTCTTTCGCTCTTCTTTCTTCTCTCTTTCTTCTCTTAAACATTTTATTTCTCTAACATATTTAACAAAATCGTCCTTATGTATCTACAAGACCATATCCTTTCATATAAATATAACCAGGCACTATATAGACCTATCGTATGGTCTAAAAGGGTCCATGGCAATAATCTTAATGTTTTCGCCTAATGATTGATTATGAAATGGTATAAATACGTGACGATGAACCATCTGTGTCATACATCACTGGCATAAAAATACAACTAACAAATAAAGGTTTATACATTAAAAAAAAATACCCTTGTTAGAAGGGAGATAAAACAACAGTATCAATTTATTTCCAACAAATCGGTGTCGTGCGAATCCGGGGAATCAAGTGGATAAACGACGACACTGTACACTGCCTGCACAAGCAGCCGAGCTAAATCTATCAAATCTATCGTATTGGACTGGCAACCGAGACCCCCCCCCCCCCCCAATTCCTTCACATTGTGTCCGTTTGATGGCTAAAGGCGCTAAATCTCTATTGAAAGTCGTATTTCCCAACTTCAGATTAAGAATTCGTGTAACACACACAGAGAAAAAGAAACTGCGGGTTTTAGAAACTGCATAGTACTTATACGTAAGTGGTCAGATCGAGCGCGAGCTCTTGGATTTATTTTAGAACACAGAGAACGTCTATATGCTAGTTATACATACTGCACCTGGAATATACCTCCCTGCTGTCACTATTAATATCCCCGGGTCACGATCTCACCATTATTCTGGTATCATGCCCTACAGCAAGGGACTAATTCCAACACGATGACGATGAACTATACAAATATTGCATTATAGATTTTCAACGTTCGATTGTACCTTTAGGCTGTTTAAAGAGGAACTCCACGATTAAATAATATATATCTTAACAACTGCGAGACGTATGGGAGTTTTTGAAATGGTCGCGATCGCGTGTCGCCTGCGATGTGTATTCTCGGCCGAAGTTCTTCGTATTCGTTAATTCAAATTAAACTTTAAACTGCGCACTTGCATTTGAAGACTTAGTTCCGTCATGACTGTTCAAAATAAATTATGTTGCAAAATTAAATTTTAAATGTTGAATAGCCATTGTCCAAATATCCTTTGGATGAAAAACAATATGAAATGTTTTACCTTCCGATAGTAGCTTGATGAATTGATATCGGACCGTAATCTATATTTATGATGTATGTCAGCAATCAAGGAACAGAAAATATTTGATATTTTATTATCGTGAGTTTATCCATTTAGTAGCAGACGGGAAATCTTCTTAACAACAACAGACATCAGGAATTCGCATGTCTAAATACGAAACTAAACCAATTACAATTTTGATAAATTTCTATAGATCCACAATATGTCGTCTGCGAGATATCCGTTTGGTTCCTGCAGAGGCAGATTTATTATTAAGGAGATATAGATAAAATTATTAGGTGTAGATTGTTGAACAACAACATGGCCGTTATCAACACAATTCATATACATATCTTAATAACAGGAAACACGAGAAAGGCATGTTTCAAACTCCATTACGATTTATTGTTCCACATCTTAAATTGCACCTCATTGTTGTTTTATTGCCTAGAAACCAAAAATAAAACAAAAATCATGTTTCTTATGTATCTTAGGAATATATCGACTTATAGTTACGTGCACACGTCTGTTATTTTCTTGTTTAGAAGAAAAGAGAATTAGGAGTAAATCAGCGAGATATGAAACTCATCTGATGTTACTGTTATTTTATCCGCCATATTTATCAAACAATTCCATAGACTACAAGATAATCTTGGCAGGAAGAGAATTTGGTCGGTATGCCAACCGGTGATACGTTACACCAAAACCTGCATGCGAGGGCAAATTATGTAAGTTGCTATCAATGTGTAGAAGTTATCTTATATCAATGGTTTTGGCTTTCGATTATCCGTTTCTTCTTTGCACGCATTATGTTTAGAAACTGTTCTTGAATTTAGATAAATACATTCTCTCTGGCATGTTTCCTATCAACAGTTTTTGATATCCTTTCAAATGTCAATCTTTTATATATACTATGAGAAACAATCACAGAAAAGTAAAGAGATATTCATGACAGATTTCTTTAAAGTTTTTAACCTACTGTACCCCGAAACCCCCGTCTAGTCCTTCGAGTGATACAGCAAAAAACGAGGTCCCGTGTACACGTTTCATTTCGACTCAAAACCTACCACGAATTGTCTACTACTGATTTCGAAATTCAAGTGTTTTTAATATTCGCTATGTAAATCAATTAGAACAGTTGATTGAAGAAACAGTTTATAGTAAATCTCACCAGAATCAACCATCTAAATGGCACGTTTAGCACTATTTTCCTTATTACAATGCATTTGGGATTTAAATACATGGCATAAGGTTTGCTTTTTATACTTGTAAAATTTAGATAAGGATTTATTTACTGCGGATCTGATAACATTATCAACCACACATTCCGCCATTTTTATCACACTTTTTTTTTTAAAGCAGAAACTACGTAGCCTTGCCAAATATTAATCTTCCATTACATAAACAGATGCAATTATATATTTGACATTTAAATGAACTGAAATAAGCCAGAACAGCAAAATTAATTCCCCCCTCTTGTGGCATTGGTTATAATATAGGTTTACTGTTACTTAAAAAATCACCTATGCTAAATTGATTGTAGATCCGCAACCACTGGATATTTCATAACGATAGGGCTCAGATTGAAAAATTCTAAATTTTATTAGCGTTTTCTTTGACCGTTTCCTTGCTTTGTTGACAAATTTTCTATTACGGGCTTGCTACCGCCGAGCGAAACCAGGCGCGAACGATTTTGATCGCTAAAGGCATTATCACCTTGAACAAGAAAATAAAGTTGCTTAATTGTATATAATATATTCAAAATAACCCAAGATTCAAGTAAAATATATGTTAACAAATACGTGTTTCACGACCAGTTTTTTATATAGTATCAGCGACAATATACACGAAAATCCAAGCTTTGGCCAGGCCATATTCCTAAAGCAATGGCCAGAGAAATCCCTCTCTAACCATATTTCTACACAGTTTTTTGAAACACAATACGTAACATGACAGCCCTTCACTTTGGTCTGGGGTCTTCGGACAGTTGAATAAATGTATTAAAAGATGGTGAAAATATTGTTCGTCTGCTGTGTGCTCCAAGAGGTGACAAAAAGATTCCACGTGCGCGGCGATTACCCAATGTTTACTATGTAGCAATTTTGGATAACCTCGTTTATCACACAATATTCTGTTATGCACTAGTTAATTGAGCGTAATACATTGTCCGCGTTATGACGTAATATGGCCGCGATTGTCACCAGACACTTTACGGTGACATATTTAGAGCTGGTTAATCCCGACTGATTTTATTACCTTGCAATGTATTGGTTGTTGATAGGACTGTTAAACCAATCATAATTTGGAACATAAATTTGCGGTACGGCAGTGTTTGACTGGGATTTGTTTCTAAAAAACGAAACACTGCTAGGGACACACTGATCAGCAGTGAATAATCGCTAGGCCGCTACAATCACTGATATGATAAGGATGACAACAATGCTACTTAATGAGTCTCAAATATTAACTTTTTTCCACCGACAAATTAAATTCTAAAACATTTTTTTTATGTATTAGAAAAATAAATAAAGACGTTTGACGTATTTGTAGGTCAAAATTATTTCCTATTTAGTGCATAAAAATGACTAAAGGGCAGCATTCTGGCCAAAGCAGCAACGTCTTATATAAACAATGCACGCGACATTCAGCCTATGATTGACGCCGCGTGCTGTGACGGCACGTGTTAAAGGCAGTCATCTTTTACAGAGATATGAGAGAGAGGGAGAGAGAGAGAGAGAGAGAGAGAGATGGGGTTTAACGTCCACTCGACATAGACTATGAGCTATGGTCTGATTAGAATAGAACATTTTGCACCAGGGGGCCCGCTGAACTCCATAAAACCGCCCTGGAGTGTAATGTGTACACAGAGATGGATTGGCAGATTTGTCTCAATATTTTGAATCCCTCGGCGTTCCTATAGGCCCATAGTCAAATCACGATGAATCGAAAACTATTTTTACTGATTTGTCTCAATTTTGAATCTCCCGGCGTACCTATATTATAGTCAAATCACGACGAATTTTCTAATTAATGGTATCGAAACAAACTTCAATCTTGACATGACCAGTTATCTAGGAATATGAACCATTTAACCATTCAAGATGATATCTAAATATGACAAGTCATAATTAAGATCTCGTAATTGGACATTAAATAATTAAACATACGCCCTCTTCTTACCTTAGATAATTTAATTAAGAAATCATTAGTTGATGGTATAAAATGAAAGTTATCTTTTAATCTCTTAGACGCAGACTTCCTTTGAAGTGGTCAGGTTTTAACGCCGCGTGGAATCTAGTGTGGTATTAAGGATGTTTTGTTGCTGTAGAAGAGGTAAAAACATGAATTGCTACCATTAACAAGGTACAAACCCATCTGGTGTATATAAATGACTGGTATATGATGGTAGTATAATTAACACTGACAATCTTAATAGACTGTATATAATTAACGATAAAGACAGATCGGTATGTTTGGTGTTTCTACTTTATTATTGGTACTAT